AACAACAACAACAACAACAACAACAACAAAAACAAAAACAACAACACCAACAACAACAACCACAACAACAACACAACAACAACACCAACAACAACAACAGCAACACATAACAACAACAACAACAACAACAACAACAACAACAACAACAACAACAACAACAAATAACAACAACAACGATAATCCGCACCGCGGAATTCCACTTCAGCCACGCACCCAGGGACAGTGAATGACTGTTCGGCCCCCTCACTCTGACTCGCGTTCTCGCCTTTACGGCCAGCCGGCGCTCCAATGCGGACGCCCCCAGAGGCACCAAAGAGACACCCGAGACGCCTCAAGAAACCCCCGGGCATGCCAAGAGACCCCCAAGACGCCCCAAGAGGACCCCAAGAAACCCTCGAACAAAATCGAGGGAGAGACACCAGACACCATCATCAGACCGGCGCTTTTTTGTCGCAGTTCCTTGCGCGTCGGCCCAAGGCTCGGAGTGGAGGGTTTCTCCGAAGGGCTTAGGCGACTCGTCATCCTCCTTCCTCCTCCTCCTCCTCCTCCTCCTCCTCCTCTCCTCTCCTCGTCCTCCTCCTTCTCCTCCTCCTCTTCTCCTCCTCCTCCTTCTCCTCCCCCTCTCCTCCTCCTCCTCTCCCCTCCTCCTCCTCTCCTCCTTCCTCCTCCCCCTCCATTTCCTCCTCCTCCTCTTCCTCCCTCCTCCTCTCCTCCTCCTCCATCCTCCTCCTCCTCTCATCCTCCTCCTCCTCCTCCTCCTCCTCCTCCTCCTCCCCCTCCTGCTCCTCCTCCTCTCCCCCTCCATCTCCTCCTCCTCCCCCTCCTCGGGTTACCTGCGGCCCCGGGGGACACCGTGCAGCCCGGAGGCGGGCCCCTCGGGGCCGAGGCTCCGGCTGCGCATTTTTTAAACCTTCGCCCCGGAGTGGCGCCCCGTGCAGGCCCACACGAGAGACCCCCCAGCTGTGGCCTCCGCGCCTGGAGGTGGTTTGAAGTCGGGCGCGTCCCTCTACAGGGGGAGCATTGAATTACTCCGACGGAAAGACCCCACATGAAAACCTTTTCGGTCAATCGGGACATAACCTTCACTGTCGTCCTCGCGATTACTGAGGCACCCTGACTGTCTTCTCTGCGTCATTATCATTCTCGCCTTGCCGCAGGGCCTTCACCCGCTCCCCGCGTTGCCCTTGCCTCGCCTTCCTGCTGTTTGTTTCGTCACCCACCACCTCCTCTCCTGTCTATTGCAAGAGCGCGTGCGTCGATGTCCCTCGACGCCGTTGCCGCCTCGGCCAGTGCGGGCGCATTTTCGAATGGTCGCGTCGCGCGGTCGTTGGGGCAACCCCGCGGGCCAGGCCTTTGGGGCAACCGCGCGAGCCGCTGGGGCGCGGGAGGAAGCCGTTGGGACAACCCCGCGGGCACCGAGCTAGTCACGGCCGCGCGAAGGCGGGAGGCAGCACGAAGCCAAGCTCTGCGGCGAGCTGCTCGGCCTCATCCCTGGAACTCTCCGCTCCCGCACCTGACCTCCCCAGCGCTTTTCACGAGGACGCCGGCGGCCCGCGCTCCAGAAACTCCCGCGTGGGCGGCCGCAGGATCAGCATGTTCCGCATGCACGTGGCGTGGGAGAGCATGACGTAGACGTGCAGCCACCACTGGTCGTCGGACATGCCCGTGCGGCCAGCGTCCTCGTCCCTCGCGCTTTTGACGGTGACGCCCTTGCGGAGCGCCTGGCCCTGCGACAGTGTGGAGGTGAGTTAGGATGCGTGAGTCAGAGTAAACCCCGAGCGGCGCACGGTGTGCGGCCCCGAGCTCTGCCACGTGAACCTGCTCGCTGGGCCTGAACATCAGCAAGCTCCGAGCCCGTGCCTCGGCTTGGCCGTTGTCGTCGGCGTTTTCGGCGCCTTGTCGCAGCACTTCGGCGACCTCCTGGTCGATCGGAGATTCTTTGAACCCGTGCACCTGCAGCCAAGTCCCCTGCGGTAGGAAGCGGGGGCGAAAAAACCGGTTTGCCGAGCACTCCTCGTGCCGCTGCTCGTCCTCGCGGTGGAACCCGGAGGGCACGATGGTGGACCGTTGTTCTTGCACGAGTCTCCACTTCTTATTTCGCTCATCCTGCGCTGCCGTGAATCGCACTTCCATGCCGACGTGGGCAGGCAAGACGCCGTGGATGTCCCCTGTGTTGTCCTCACCTCCTGTTGCTCCTCTTCCTCCCCGCCAGACAGCGCATCGGGAAGGGGTTACCGCCTGAAACTTCCTTGCAGTTCGCTTTCCCCGCCCGATACGTCGTCCATATTCAAGCTTCGGGAGCCCCGAAGTGACGACAGTTACAGGTTCGAGGATGACCCGTTTGGATTAAAAACATGAGGTGCGGGCGCCAGAGGGACGGGGCTCCGGGTTAAGCGTTCCTCACAGTTCACTCACAGAGGAGGCTCCCGCCTGATATTCCCCCACATTCAGGCCTCAGGAGCCCAAAAGTGACGGCAATTACAGGTCCGAGGATGAAACGTTCGGATTGACACATGAAGTGCGGGCCCCATAGGTAGGGGGTTCCCGCTTGGGCGTTCCTCACAGTTCAATCACAGACGAGGCTCCCGCCTGATATCCCCCCGGTATTCAGGCTTCAAGAGCCCAGAAGTGACGACAGATGCAGGTTCGTGGATGGCCCGCTCGGGTTTTTAAGAATTACTTGCGGGCCCCAAATGGAGAGGCTCCCGCCGGAGCTTTCTTCGCGAAGTCAGTCACAGACGAGCCTCTGGCCTGATGTTTCCCCCTATATTCAAGCCTCAGGAGCCCAAAAGTGACGACCGCTACAGGTTCAAGGATGACCCGCTCGGATTAAAAACGTGAAGTGCGGGCCCCAGAGGGCTCCCGCGTGAGACTTCCCCGCAATTCACTCACAAACGAAACTCCCGCCTGATACTTCCCCCATATTCAAGCTAACGATTGAGTGGGCGAGTGAGTGAGTGAGTGAATATTTGAATAAGTGATGGTGATGAGGATGATACAGATGATGAGTGAGTGGGGAGTGAGTGTGTGATCGAATGATGTGGTCAAGGTGATCAAGATGGTCTGTGTGTGACTGAATGTGAGTGTCAATGAGTGTTTGAGTGATGGCGATGCTGATTGTGATGGTGCAGGGTGAAGGAGTGAGTGGGGGTGAATGAGTGAGCGAGTGATGGTGATGGTGATGAGGCGACTGTTGTTGATGATGATGTGGTGATGATGCCACTTATGTTGATGATAGTAAAAGTGTGTGTGTGTGAGCGATGGCGACGTGATGACTGAGTTAATGAGTGATGATGATGAATGAGTGAGTGAATGAGTGAGTGAGTGAGTGGGTGATGATGTAGTGCGTGTTCTGGTTCCTGCGCGGGGTGTCCAGAGGAACAAGCACCCCATTTTGGACGTGCGGAAAATAGCAAAACAATTAGTCTGGGGACGATGTTTCGATTATTTTTCTACCATTTAAGGGTATGATATTTTTGATATTTCTTCAAAATCTCCCTGTGGGGGGACATGCCCGACCTAAAGGTGGTTCCCTCTTGTGGAGGCCGCCCGCCAAAGTCAGCTGCTCTTGCCGCGGGCCCGCACGCGCGCCGAGGGGGGGCTCCAGCGCTTGCCTGGCCCCACGGTGGCGTCGGCAGAGGTTGGCCGGCCCTCCGATGACCGACCAAGGGACCTCCGAGACTCGGGCCGGACGAAAGGGGGGGATTGGGAAATGGGGGTTACGAAATTTGCTGCATGCAGCTGGTTTCGGCCCCACCGAGGGGCCCAGTCCTAGTTACATGGACGCCTCCGGCGCCGGGAGGCGCCAGGAAAATCAGCTACGTGAACTGATTCTCAAACCCCCCCTTTGCTATCCCCCCCTTTCGCTCGGCCCGAGAGACCGCCAGCTCGCCCCACAGAAGCCCCCAGTAGGCCCCAGGAAGCTCCCAAGAGACCCGACGCGAGCTCCCAGGATGCCCTCAAGCGGCGCCCAGCTCCAAGAGACTACCGACCAGCTGCGTCAAACTCCCAGGGGGCGGCCGGTGATGCGCCGCCGGCGTTCTCGATTCCCGACGCTGGTGTTCTCCGGACGGGGCTCGGCAGTTGTTGCTTCCCCTCGTGGAGGGTGGGACGCTCGGGAGCAGATCCACTGTGGCTGAGACGGAGGCAGAAATCGCACTCCGCGCTGCTGCTCGCTCCTGGATCAGGAGGGGAAGAAACACACAGACACAACGAATCGTCGATAGTCAGGAGAACACGGGAACATATATGGGAAGTCGGGGGGGAAGACGAAACTCCAGGAAACATGGACACAGATTGGGGACCCTGCGATTTGTGTGTATTTATTCTTGTGTCCCTGAAAACGTATTATATATATAACAAAAAATAAACGGGCCCCGCGGGCCGAGAGGGCGGTGTGTCGGCCTCTCGGGCCTCGCGGGCTGCAGGGGATCGCCTATGCTCCGCAGCCGCTCGGGCTCGAGGGTGTCGTGAGCCCAGGGTTCGGGGGTGGACAGACCTCCTAACAGTGACACGTCGATTAGTGAATTGTCCGTTTTCGGTTCTCGAGAGGGCGCCGCGGCCGTCATTTTCCAGGCTTGCGCCCGCCAGGTTTGGGCCCGAGGTCGTTTTCACTAAACCACGTTTTACTAAAGGGAGGTCTGTCCATCCCCGAAGGGTGTCGTGAGCCCAGGGTGCGCCCAGATGGGGCGCGGGGCCTGGCCGAGGAGTGCGAGGGAGGAGGGGGAGACCAGACGGGGCCAGGATCAAGTCGGGCCTGTCCAGCTAGAGGAGGAAGATCCCCCAAAAACAGTCAAAAAGTTCATCGGGGGACGATGTTTCGACTATTTCCCGTTATCTGTGAGCACTTGTTGGCTACTTTTTATTTTCCTTCCAAAATCCGCCTGTAGGAGGACATGCCCGACCTACGGGTAGGACGAGGATAAATCAGTTCCAGAGCGTTCCAGAACGTTGCGGAACGCTCCGGGAAGGCCGCGGGGCCGAGACAGCCTCCAGAGCCGCCGGTTCTCGGAGATGCTCGATTTATCCTCCCCTGCTGTTGTCCTCGTCCTGGCTCCGTCTCAGGAGCCTGCAGGACGCAGTAAATGTTGCCAGTGCTGGCGCTTGGGTGCCTGGTCTGCGGCGTGGCCAGCGAGGACGTGAGCGTCAGCGTCAAGGGAAGGAGAGTGCATGGCAGGCTCCTGGCGGGGGATCACTGGGCCCCCGCGCCGCTGGACCGCGCGTGCAGCGCCATTCGGCAGAGCTTTGAGCCGTTCTTGCCGCACCGCTTTGCCGAGGACGCGGTGACCAGGTACTCGAAGCAGCTGCAGCGCTTGGCCCGCACGGTGGCCCACGGGGGCGGACAGGGCCTCGACCGTTGGTGCTGGGCGGCGTGGGGCATGATCAGCCAGATCATGCGCGGCGGCGCGATGCCCGAGGACCCGCTCACGTGGCCCGCGCTGGTCGGCTTCGACGCGCGGGCGGGTGGCGAGGACTGGCTCCTGGAGCTCTTCCGTGCCGGCTGGGCCGAGTCCATCTTCGGCCTGCTGAACACGCTGGCCTCGGCCACGCTGGACCGGCTCGGCGCCGGCAGCGCTCCGGCCCTGCAGGGGCGCTGCTCCGGCCACCTGCGCAGGGCCGAGGCCGCGCCGCGCGCGCCCTGCGCGCGGGGCCCGCCCAACGGCAGCTCCGACTGCGGCCCCGCCGAGGGCCTCGACGGCGCGCTGCAGCGCGTGCAGGAGTGCCTGCGCGCGGAGTGGCCGCGGCTGCTTCGGACGGGGCCAGGGCGAGGACTAATGCGTTCCAGAGCGCCGCAGGGCGCTCTCAGAGCGTTTCCTGGGACGCTCTGAGGAGGCCTTCGGCGCCCGAGGCATCCTCCACAGAGCCGCCGGATCTCAGAGACTCTCGACTTCTATTCCCCGGATGGAAGTCTGAAACCTGGGGAGGACGAATCGAGAATCTCCGAGATCCGGCTCTCCTTCCGCTGCAGTCGTCGCTGCAGTCGCCGTCGCCGTCGCCGTCGTCGTCGTCGGCCGCTGGCTTCGCGCCCAGCTTGTCTGTAGTTCGGTTCCTCGGGCCGGCCCGCTGCGGCCGCCTCGCGGCTCTCCGCCGTTCCTCGGCTCTCCGCCGCTCGGCCTCCGCCGCTGCGCCCCTCGAGGACCATGCCCCCTCTCGGCCCTCCCGGCCCTCGGCCCGCGGCCGGCAGGCTATTTGTCCTCCTCCTCCTCCTCCTCCTCCCTCCTCCTCCTCCTCCTCCTCCTCCTCCTCCTCCTCCTCCTCCCCCTCCTCCTCCTCCTCCTCCTCCTCGGCCCTCCCGCAGATCTACCCCTGGCTCCGTCCCGGCCGGAGCGGGCGCGGCGCCCCGGGGCCCGCGCTGGCGGCGCTGTACCTGCGCGGGGCGGGCGCGCGCGGCCTCTGGGCGGCCCTCGCGCGCGCCGCGGGGCGCGGCGCGCCGGGCCCGCCGCGCGCCCCCGCGGGCGGCGGCGCCCCGCGGGCGCCCGCGGAGAGCCTGCCGGCGGCGGTGCTGCGGCTCTGCGGCAGGCCCAGTGCGCGCCGAGGAGCGCGGCGGGGGCGGGGCGTCGTGGCTGGCGCACAGAGTAGGGTCTGGGAGCCCAGACCCCCTCTGGTCACGAAAAATTCACGATGGAAGGTTTTTTGCTATTTTCGGCCTCCGGGGGCCCTCGCCGGGCCTCGGGACCATCAAAAAACGACTCAAGATGAAGAGCCGGTCCCGGGGAAGGGGTCGGGACCTCTGGGGGTCGCGTCATAAAAAAAAAACGACGTCGGGGGTCTGGGGGGGTTATCTCCGAGGGGCTCAGGCGACTTCCGTCCTCCTCCTCCTCCTCCTCCTCCTCCTCCTCCTCCTCCTCCTCCTCCTCCTCCTCCTCCTCCTCCTCCTCCTCCTCCCTCCTCCTCCTCCTCCTCCCCTCCTCCCTCCTCCTCCTCCTCCTCCTCCCTCCTCCTCCTCCCCTCCTCCTCCTCTCCTCCTCCTCCTCCTCCTCCTCCTCCTCTCCTCCTCTCCTCCCTCCTCCTCCTCCCTCCTCCTCCTCCTCCTCCCCCTCCTCCTCCTCCTCCTCCTCCTCCTCGGGTCGCCTACGGCCCCGGGGGAAACCGTGCAGTAGGGTCACCAAGGAATGTTCTAAGAGCCTTTTCCGGCCACGCGCAGAGGGGGTAGGTGGAGGGGGGAAGGCTTCTTAGAAGCACCCCTGCTTCTTAGAAGGCGCGGGCCTTGTCTAAAGAAGTGAGGCTGGCGCCTTCTAAGACGCAGCCTCCTTCTAAGAAGCCTTCCCCCTTCCCCCTACCCCCTTATGCGCGCCGCCGATTTTTGGTGGTCTGCACGAAGTGTTCTTTCAATACGTCCGGATTCTGTTCTACGAGCAGTGTTTTTGTTTTTGTCTTTTGAGCATTATGGGGCTCTTATGAAACATTGCGTGGTCGGCCTATGGGAATGCCAGGACGGTCGGCCCCTGCTCAGGAGGAGGCGCGACTTGCGCGTGGGACTTCCACCACGCATTCCCAGAGATCCAACGCTGCAACAAGAAAGTCGGCGCGGCGGGATCTGGGCAGCCTCCGGCCTCTGGAGGCCCTCGCCGGGCCTCGGGAGCTTCAAACGACGACCCAGGGGGAAAAACCGGCACCGGGGAGGTGGTTCGGACCTCTTGGGACCCACGCACCGACAAAAGTTGGAGCGGACGGATGTCTGGGTCAGGAGGTGGTTAGGTGCCGAAAGACCAACAAGTGTAGGGAAATAGTGAGGCCCAGGGTCACAAACAGGTCGGTTTGTGACGCGCTGGTTCGCAAGACTGGGCCTTCGGAGGCCAAAAAACCAATGTGCTAAGAAGCACCATGGGGGAGCGAGGTTAAGAACGTGGTCCTTCGATCAATGGGCAATCATGTCATCATTCGCATCATATCAGCATCCGTTGTTGTAGCTTGTTGCTACAATGTTGTGTGTATTGCTACGCTCGCAGTTACGGCTGTTATCCATATTACTACTGTTACCAATCATGTTACTTTGTATTGTATGTCTAAGGACTCTCAAAATCAACAACTATAAGATGTTGCCATACACCCTCAACAGTCTTCGATACGCCCCATACGACCCTCAATGATATCAGATGTTGCAATACACCCTCAACAAATGCTATGTTTGAATACAACAACACATGTGATTCGGGTGGGCCCCAGACCCACCCGTTCCGCGCCATATTCAGGATTACTGGCAAACATTCCCCTGGGCCCCGTAGCCATTTTGGCTCAAAGAGTTGCGGCATGGAGTTTGACCACGACCTCGTGCCAGGGTCCCAGAGAGCGGCTGAAGATGCTGCCATGGAGTTTGACCACGACTCTCTGCCAGGGTCCCAGAGAGTGGCTGAAGATGGCCCCAAGGGAATCAATCTGTTGGGGGTGGACTGTGGGTGCGGACTGGCGAGCGCCGTTGAAACCCTTGCACGCGTGACCGTCCTTGGATCAGGAGGGAGGGATTGTATGAGTAGAATGCGGGGGATGGTCAGGTTGTCGTGAAATGGACAGGGAGTTGGCGGGGAGGCAAGGAGGAGGAATGGCGTCAGGAGGAGAAGCACGACGAGCACGAGGTGGGAGGACTCTTAACTTGGACAGGCTGCCTGGCTGCAAGTCGGGTCTCGGGGGCCGTTTGGGGTGATCGAAACTAGAATGTTTCAACGGCGTCCGCCAGCCCGTGCCGACTGCCCACCGCCCACTCAGTCCCGAGGCGATGGTGTACAACGCAAACGAGGGCGCAGACCACGAGACTGCCCCAACCGTGGAGATCTGGTGTTGCTGATTATTTGTTCGACGGCCTCCTTGTCTGGTTTCAATATATCTGAATCGCGTTTGTTCCGTGATGATGTTGAAGTTCATTCGATCGCCTTGAGCAGATGGGAGGCCCTCTCTTGCGATCAAATTGACCGTATGCAGCCCCAGCAACATGTAGACGAGTTGATGGCAGATTTAAGTCGCAGATGCACTTCGCACATATACGGCGTGATTGGTTATAAATTCATTTCAATTCAACGACTCGTGAACAGAATTGTAGTGCCACCCTCAATTTCAAACATATGGGAACATATCCGACAACATGACACGTACGCGAATACCGACAGGCTTCTGATCCAGACATGCGATGAAGTCGCTGATGAGTTTGCTCGTATTCGTGGTGTCGAAACGGCCTTGCTTGTGAAACGCACGGTGTTCACGTCTCCAGAATATGCTGGTCGGATTGCGTATGAATGGCCTGCGCTCAAGCTCATACCACTGTCAGATAAGTTCAGACCTGCGCGTCACTTTCTCCAGATCGGGCCGAGCATGGCCCAGTACAAATGGTGGCGAGCAAAGTTTCAGGCAGAGTGCGAGCATCCAATTGTAGGTGGCTCACGTGGGTCAGTCTTGTCGGCGCCCAGACAGCACTCGCTTCCAGATAGGCTCGCGACGTACCCAGCTGAAGTTGTGATTGATTATCTTGACGCGTCTCGGCATCTGAAAGACCTGCGCCACATTCACGCCGCCAAGAAAGCGTTCGCCAAAATATTGGCCAAACACAGTGTGCCTGCAGCTGATCTATTAGACTCGTCGTCGTTCCAACTGGGCAGGGACGTGCTTGTCAGGGGCCGCGTTCGGTTTGATACAGCATGCATGGTCTTGATGAGATTCTGGTTCGAGCTGCACATTCGAAGAACAAACATATACGTGTTCACAGATGGTTCACCGCAGTGGAGGGGTGTTGAGATGATGGCGACCTCGATTGATTGCATAAGATGCACGCCGAGTCGGTGGTGGCACCGACGTTTCATCTTGCCAATTGTTCAGATCGGTAATGGCCAGCTCACGTTGGAAGGCAAAGCCTACGCAGTGCTGTGGAAAATAATGCTCATCGTCGGCCAATCGTATCCAGCATTGCGTAGCTTCTTGGCAAGAGTGGTTTCGATTACATCAGACTTTGGTACCGAGCGACTTCTACCAGAATCCCCTGACATCCTCATCGACTTTTGTATGCACGCTGGGATCAAAGTGCCTCGCCACGCGACTCGTGGACCACGACTCTTTCCGACTGCTATTTTGGCCCCTGGGTGGATGCACATCGTGGACACTGTGTTGAGGCGAGGTCTTTCAAGCCTTCCATTTTTTCCTCGCTGGTTAGCTGGCCTCAAGGCAATCATCAATTTCTTGAGGGCCTACGGCGACGACATCGCGAAGTCGATCAGAGGCGAGTTCCCAGCCGTAGCCGACGTTGTGAACAAGACGAAGGCCCCATACTTTGCCTCATGGAGATGGGCAACGCTTGCACGTGCATGTTCTGCAGTGGAGGGCGTGCTGAGAATTCTTACTCGGATGTGGGATCGCTTCGAGTTCGTCCGCAGGCTGAAGGATACGGTGCTCGTGAAGAATGTCAGGGCGGCGTTGCAGAGCTCGAGCTGGCACCTGCACTTCACGTTCATCTCGTGGTATGTGCTGTGGCTGACCTCGCTGCAGTCGTGGGGGGGCGGCTGCCGATGCCATCAGGAGGATCTCGAGGCAGGGCGCAAGGTGGAGTGTCCCAGGAAGGGGAGGTTGTTGCCGTTCGCTTACGAGAGAGCTTCGAACTGGTTGCAGGCGGGGGCCCAAACAGACGAGACCAAACCCATGGGACAAAACCTCATTCTTCCTGGCCAGGCAACTTGTGCACTTCGCGTCGGGGGCCCCACGGCCCCACCTCAACTAACTATGCACGTTTACGGGTTTCATGTTGGGTTTCGTTGCCAGAGCCTCGGTGCGGGTGATCGAGCTTCAGAAAAACCCGCAGTGCAAGCTGCACCAAACAGCACCCATGGAAATTAGGAGGACGGGTAACTGGCGGCGGGAGGTGGGGAAAGGAGAAGAAGG